CGAGGGGATGACAACACCACAATCCCTTTTCTTCCTCTCGGGATTTTGAGCATGCACGTACATGTACCCAGTGTGTTTCAAACTGCCAGGTCTAGGACTCGAACTGTGGTTGACCATGTGGGAGTCCAGCGATATAACCTTTACACCAACTGCTGGACCCCTGTTTTAGTTTTAATGCTAGATTTTTAGGACAAAGAAGTAGTGGTTGGAAACATTAGCATATGTAATCCTCAACTTGGCACTCAGGAACACAGATTGGAGAAATCAGAACACAGAGTTTAAGAGTTTATTCATGGCCTGCTTTAATTGATAAATTCATTAGGTTTTAATAATATAGCAATCATTTATTTTTTTATTTTTAAAAATTTTTTGAAGAGGTTTTTGCTATAGGGCGTGTGCGCTTGCCAGAAAGATGGAGAGAGACAGAGAGACAGAAAGCGAGAAATTACCCCCCAGAGGGGATGGCCATGCTGCAATCCCTTCTTCTCCATTCTCCTCTTGGGATCTTGGGCACGCATGCGCACGCACCTGGCGTGAGTTTAAGCCATTGGGTCCAGGACTTGAACCGTGGTCAACTACATGGGAGTCCAGAGACATAGTCATTATACTAACTGCTGGTCCCTATAGCAATCATTTATGAACCAACACCTGGCAATATAATTATCACCTGTTAATTTAACATGTAAATTGTTCCAGTTGTCATAAGAGGAAAAAGAGGAGGAAATAATATTACAGTTATACTTCGTATTAATCTCCACGCTGTTTACTGTATCTGCATTATTTAATCCTCACAATAGCTCTGAGAAAGCAGTATTATTATTATCCCCATATTCCAGATGAAAAAAAGAAACATTGACTCAGAAAGATCATTTGTCCAAGTTCTTTTTTATTTCTCCAGAGAAATTTTTGCTATAGGGCACGTACTCTGGCAGGAGAGACAGAGAGACAGAAAGTGAGAATTAACCCCCAAGGGGGATGGCCATGCCGCAATCTCTTCTCCTCCATTCTCCTCTTGAGATCTTGGGCACGCATGCACACGCGCCTTGCGTGAGTTTAAGCCATTGGGTCCAGGACTTGAACCGTGGTCAACTACATGGGAGTCCAGCAATGCAGCCATTATGCCATCTGCTGGTTCCGATGTTGGGAGCTTTTTGCTTTAATATGTTATAAGAGTGATTTGAAGAATTCATCAGTTGTTTTGCATTATTCAAAATCATTTGGGGATATATTAAAATAAAAAAGAGTCATACAAACATATTTTTAGTTCCATAAAACCCAATATTACATGTTGCATATCTATTTTTTTATACCAAAAATCTAAATTTGCAAGACACACTCACTTCATTTAATATAACGTCTGCTAAAAAAGTTAGGTGCAGTTAGAAAACAAGATAAAAAAAATTACTACATTTGGCATCTTTACTTACGGAAGAATCTTCACTGATCTATAAACTCCAGGGTTACTTATCATAGCATCTAAAAAAGTGATGCCCAAGAAGGTGATGGGATGGTTCTTTGAAAAGTTTCCCTAGTGTCTCCACTCACGTAAATCTTTTCTTTCCATTCCCCTGCTTGGCCAATATATTGGAAAACCACTTGTTCAATAGCCCATGATATTTGTTTCATGAAATTTCATAGTTTTTTTGTTTTGTTTTGTTTTGTTTTGTTTTTTGAGAGATTTTTACTGTAGGGCGCGTGCGCTCGCCAGACAGACAGAGAGAGACATAGAGACAGAAAGCGAGAAATCACCCCCCAGGGGGGATGGTCACGCCGCAATCCCTTCTCCTCCATTCTCCTCTCGGGATCTTGGGCACGCACGCAAACGCGCCCGGCATGAGTTTTAAGCCACCGGGTCCGGGACACGAACTGCGGTCGACTACGTGGGAGTCAAGCGACATAGCCATTACGCTAACTGCTGGTTCCATGAAATTTCATAGTTTTGAAATTGCCTATGACAAAGGTGACTTGTTCTGCCCTGTTGAATCCGCTCCCCTCCGTAGGAATCCCGTGGACTGGGTCACTGTGACATCATCATGACTGCGTGACAGGCAAGTCCGGTGTCTCTGACTTTGTTTTCCCGTCTATAAAGTGTAGTGACGATATCTATTACATTTTGCACTTAGTTGTCATGAATCTGTTCCTTTGGTCTTTGTCTTTCATGGTACTTTCGAAGAGTACAGACCAGATATCTGGCCGAGTGTTTCCTAATTGGATTCTCCTGATGTTTCTTCACGCACATTCGGGTTGCTCGGGTGGGCGGGAAATACCCCACAAATGATGTGTCCTTCTCAGCGTGTCTCCTCCAGAGGCCTATTATATTCCTCTGCCTTATCCCATGATTGGTAATGGTTTCTTTGACCTTTATTAAGATGGTGAGGCCAGAGTTTGCCACTGTTTTTAGTTAAATAGTAATTAATACTAAATAGTAAATTTAGGGGCCTACACGGGCATGGTGGTTAAGGTGTTGAACTCCCATGTGGCTGACTGTGGTTTGAGTCCTGGACCTGTGCCACGATGGCTGGGCCCCAAATCCAATTTTTTAAAAAATTTTATCTTATTTTTTTTCTTGAGAGAGAGAGACAGACAGACAGACAGAGAAAGGCAGCTCCATTGGAGTCCTCGTGCAGCGACCCAACCCAGCTTTAGCCAGGATCAAGGGCACATACACAGGGAGACCTCAGAATGTGAGCCTGGCGCCTTCCCATCTAGTTTTACTGCAGAGCACTGTATTAGAGCTGCACCACTGGCTGCCCCCTAACCCGATTTCTTTTTTTCTTTCTTTTTAGCTATAGAGTGAGTGTCTCGTCAGATAGAGATGGAGTGGGGCCGGGGAGTGAGGTGGGGGCTGGAAGGTAAGAAATCACCTCTCTTCCCAAGAGGGGATGGCCACACTGCAATCCCTTCTCTTCCGTTCTCCTCTTGGGATTTTGGGAGTGCACACACACTTGTGTTTTTCAAGTATCAGTTCTGGGACTTGAACTACATAGTCAGCCATGTGGGATCCTGCACCTTAACCAATATGCCATTTGCTGGCCCCAGAGAAACCCAATTTTTAAATGGCAAAGTTCATCAATTATTTGCACTCTTCCTGAATTCCTCCGGGTGTGTCTACCTCTGCCAGCCTTTCGGACAGCTTGGCAGTTTGGGTGAGAGCTTACTTCTGAGCCCACCTCTTTCTAAATGCAACTAGGAAGCATCTCCTCACTCAGTATCTCAGTTTCTTTGATATCATTGTCATGATTTGGAGGTGGGAAGGCTTGGGGTTGAACAGGAGCAACCAAATGAAAGGAAGTATCAAACCTAATTTAGAGGATCCAAGTTTCATTCTTTCTGTAGTTGAATATTAAACACAGTCAGAGAATGAACTCCTTACAAAGAATAAACTTAGAGTTAAATAGTTTATCAAAGGGATAGTACTTAGGGTACAGAGTATCTCCCAAGCAAGTAATTAATTTTGTATTTATAATGCAAAGTCACTGATTTAATTTAATTAGTTAGTCATTAGGTAGATGCCATCATTACATTTAAAAAATGTTTTTATTTCTAATCCTGCCCTGTTCTTTTCCTCTATTTTACATAGAGACCATCACAAATATAATCTTAAAGAGTTACAAATAATACAATCTCAATTTTCTTGCACAAAAGTATTTTAGAAAAAACTGCAATTGTGCTTTGGATACATTTTCATTCATATTCCAGACATTTCTTGTCCACTAAACAAATACTATTTAAAAGGTCTGTACTGAGAAGTGGCTATTTAGTCTACCATTAAAATAGCCTTCTAAAGCCATTACTTAGCTGACCATGTAGTGAAGTCATTTGAATGATTAGTGTAAAACAGGATTTAAGAGGAAAATAAATGAAAGGGGAAAAGTAATTTGGGTCTCATTTCAAAGCTCTGCACACACAGGGCTAGGTGCCACAACATAATTATTCTCCCTTGCCTTTCGACACAGGAAGAGTGGATGGATTTCCTCTGAAAAAGGAGTTCCTTCTAAACAGTCGGTGGTCAGAGTAAACACTCCATTGAAGATTATGTTCAAGAAACTGCTCCCAACTAGTAAGAAGGTATTAATCAAACAAGGAATTCGGATGCAAATAGCATGGAGGACCTGCAAGGAGTGTGTTGACAATGTCCATGGTCGGCATCTAGATGGTTCTGCAGGGATGTCCCACCTTTTCTGTTCTGTGGTTCTGAGAAATCATCATTAGGAACAACCCCCATTGAATAACTGAAATAATGTAATCAGCAACTAGCTTACAAACACACACAAAACGATTCTGTTTGTTGGGAGAAACGCAACCCCCTCCTGCTACATTATTCCATTGATGGGAAAACATTTACATCTCCTTTGTTAGCTAGTTTTCTGTAGAAATTTTATAATCACTGGGCACCTCTATTACACTGCCCTCTGAGAAGGACTCTGAGTGGCTAGACCCATGTTTTTATTCCACAGCCAAAAAGGGAAAAAAAAATCTTTTGACTTTTTTTTTTTTGAAACTTTAGTCTATCATAATCAAACCTGTCAAGCTTTTTCATTAAAGTTCATGGTTTTTAAGTTCATTGTAAATAACTCAAATTGATTTTACAAAAGAGGGGAAAAACGTCTTGCCCCGATGGTGGGCATTACAAACTGTAATAATATCCCTTGTCAAATGGGATTTCTCAAGTGGCTTTCTAAAGAGGGGGGAAAAAGGGATTTAGCTAAATAAAAATATTTGGAGATTAAAACCAATGTTATGCTTTGATTGTGGGTTGACTTCTTTTATTGTCTTGTAAGTCTAGAATTTTTGCATGATATTTTTAAAAATCCAGTTTATCAAGAAGTGCATGTTGGATTTTACAGTCTGAAGTCCTTAAGAGTTACTTGGTTGGAGATGATGGTACATGGTTTTTATTTTCATCTCAGCAGTAAGATCCATATGCAGAGTTCAAAAAATTTATGAACAAGCTATGTGCGGATTTCAAACATTTTTGCACCAAGATAAACTTGTACTTTGATTTTGTTTCTCCATGAACTTTTTGAGGTTCCCTTGTGTATTTGCAGATAGGTCTGTAAATATTTTTAATGTATGTGATTTCTTGGATTTTCCTTTTCCAAAGTAATGAAAATGCATTTTCCTCTTCCTTTTAACCAGACAAGGTCATTGCAGCAGGTTGCATTGCGTAAGTTAGGATTTAACCAGGAGAGTATGACTACAATGACTGATAACAGATTTTTGTGGGGCTTAGAACTTTCATGTGGTAGAGATTTTTGTGGGGATTAGAACTTACACAGTGGTGGGAGCTGATGACTTTCTAGGGGCTGGGCATGAAGTAGTTATAGGTCATCTAGGATGGGAGCCAGGAAAAAACCTGGATGTGAAACAGGGTAAGCAAGACAAACCTGCCAGGACAAACTGGTACCTGTGTCTGTCTCTCACCACCTTTAACTTGATGGCATGCGTGAGTTGCAGAAGCTGGCATTCTCCTTACTGAACTGCTCCTGTGCTGGGCTCACAACTCAGAGGAGGTGAAGGAAGAGATCAGGCAGGAGCTGGAGGAGTCCTAGCTACTGCTTTGCGCCGATGACCATGAGTATGAGCTGCAGTGATTGGGATGCACCAACGACCATGAGCATGAGCTGTAGTGATTGGGCCACACTGATGACCATGAGCGTGAGCTGCAGTGATTGGGCTGCACTGATGACCATGCACATGAGCTGCAGTGATTGGCCTACACCGATGACCATGAGCATGAGCTGTAGTGATTGGGCCACACTGATGACCATGAGCATGAGCTGCAGTGATTGGGCTGCACCGATGACCATGAACATGAGCTGCAGTGGTTGGGTCACACAGATGACCATGAGCATGAGCTGCAGTGGTTGGACCTCTGCCATACACAAATCTTCAGCTCTTAGTAGATGCTACTTCACATTTGCCTTTCAAGTCATGCCCAGATTTTCCCTGTGGCCACCTACAGGTAGGGAATTCAGAGAAGCACAGTTTGGGCTTAGGTATGGTTTAAGTGTTACATTTCCTCTGACACTTCTGTTGTAACTTGCTACTTGATTCCAGTGTTGGGAGGTGGAGTCTAGTGGGAAGAGTCTGGGACAGAGGAAGGGTCCTTCATGAATAGATTAAGGCTTCCCAGGAGGAAATGAGTGCTCCCTTATTAGTTCTCTATAAAGTGGATTGTTATAAAAAGCGATCTACCCAGAGTGCTCTCTGTCTCTCACTCTCTCTCCTTCTCTCTCTCTCTCTCTCTCCAAACTCCCACTTTCCTTTCTGATTCTCTTGGCATGTGGTAACAGCAATAGGGACTGACTAGATGCCTTCAGACTTTTTGGGCCCTAAACTGGTGAGTCAAATAAGCTTCTTTTCTTTCTAAATCACCCAGTCCCAGAATTTCTTTTCAGAAAGTTGCATAATATCCCATTGTATGTATATGCTACATTTTCTTTGTCCATTCAGCTGCCAAACAAGTTGCTAGTGCCTCTTGGCTATTGTGAATAATGCTGCCATAAACATGAGTGTTCAAATAGCATTTTGAGATTCAGCTTTGAATCCTTTTGGATACATATCCAGAAGTGGGATTGTTAGATGATACAGTAATTCTATAAAACCTTAGCAAGTTAAAAAAAAATAGAAATTGGCAAAGACTCTAAAAAAATTACATGGAAATGCAAAAGATGTCGAATAGCCAATATACCTTTTCAAATTATTTAAATTTTTGAGGCCAGCAAGAGGTATGGTGGTTGTGGGTGTTGGACTTCCACATGGCTGACCACGTGGTTTGAGTCTCAGACCTGGCAGCTTGCTTTCTCACTTTCTCTCTCTCTCTCTCGTGCTGTCCCTCTCTGGTCAAATTAAAATAAATAAGTTAAATAAACATAATTCTTAAAAAATTATTTATATTAAAAAAAATTGCTGTAGGGTGCAAGCACTTATTGGAGGGATGAGGACATGGAGAGTGAGAAAGCACTCTCCACTCCCATCTGCCCAGGGCGAATGATCACCCACAATCCTTTCTCTTCCGTTCTCCTCTGGGATCTTGGGCACACATTCACACATACTCAGTGTGTTTCTTAAGCCACGTAACCTGGGATTTAAACTGCATAGTCAGCCATGTGGGGTCCAGCTGCCTTAACCACTGCATTACCAGCTGGCCCCAATAATAGTCACCCCCCCCAGAGGTTTTTGCTATAGGGCATGTGCGCTTGCCAGACAGACAGAGACAGAGAGACAGAAAGCGAGAAATCACCCCCCAGGGGGGATGGCCACACCGCAATCCTTTCTCCTCCAGTCTCCTCTTGGGATCTGGGGCACGCACGCACGCACACGCGCCTGCCGTGAGTTTAGGGCACCGGGTCCAGGACGGGAACCGCGGTCGACTACGTGGGAGTCCAGCGACATAGCCATTACGCTAACTGCTGGTCCCCCAATACAAGTTTTAAAAGAGAGCTAACACTCTGATTTCAAGACTTATAAAGCAGGAATTAAGACAGTGGGGATATTGGTTTCAAGATAGACAAATAAATAAATGGGACAGAATAGAGAGAACAGAACTAGATCCACACATACAAGGTAAACTGATTTTCGACAGAGTTCCCAAGGGAATTCATTTGGAAACGGCTAAGTCTTTCAGTAAATGGTGCAATTGGAGAGTTAAATTTTAAACATACAAACACACACACACACACACACATCCCTGACCTTTCCTTCACACCTAAAATAAACATAAGCCTAAAAAGTGAAAACAAAAACGATAACACTTCTAGAACTAAATTTAGAACAAAGTGTTTGTTTGTTTGTTTGTTTGAGAGATTTTTGCTATCGGATGCATGCACTTACCAGAGAGAGAGACAGGAAGTGAGAAATCACCCCCCGGGGGGATGGCCCGCCTGATCTCAGACCAAAGTCTTAATAAC